TAGAGATTAGTAAAAGTAGAGAGATGGGTGGGGGAGAGATTGAAGCAAAGATTCTGAATCCAAGATACAGTTCTAAGCCTATATTTTTTTGTTATACTGTGGTTCCTGCCAATGCATATTTTAAAAAAGTATCACCAATGTTGGAGCAAGCTTTATATTACTTTTCTAGTAAGCTCTCTGTCGCTATTACAAAATACATGATATAATTTTGTGTGTGTGTGTGTGTGGGGGTCGGTCCTAGGGTTTGAACTCTGGGCCTGGGCACTGTCCCTGAGCTCTTCAGCTCAAAGTGAGCCACAGCACTGCTTCCTGTTTTTCTGGTGGTTAATTGGAGATAAGAGTCTCATGAACTTTTCTGCCTGGGTTGGCTTTGAACTGTGATCCTCAGATCTCAGCCTCCTGAGTAGCATGAGCCATTGGCGCCCGGCTGACATCGATTTTTAAAAGAAAAGTATTTATTGGCTGGCCCTGTTGTTTTGGACCTGTGGTGCAGCAGCACATCATGGTGGAGTGCATGGAGAGCAAAGCTGCTACATTAGAAGCTTGGGGGGAAAGTTGAGGAATAGGAGGGGATCAGAGCTTTACAATCCCCTTCAAGTGCACATTGCCAATAACCTAATGACCTCCTATGAAGTCCACTTCTCAATGGTTCAACCACTCCTCAATAGTGCTGCTCTGGGGACCAAACTTTTTTTTTTTTTAATATGGGCCTCTGGAAGACATTCAAAATCCAAATGATAGTGGATACCATACTTGTGCTATTTCCTTATAAAAGAACTTTATCAATTTTTAGAGTTTAGCCACCAACTGCTTTTTAAATGCATGAATAAATACTTCTACAACAGTTGCACAATGTAAAAATATGTAGGGCAAAAGATAAAACCTGCCTTGCTTCCATTTCATTTTTTTTCTCCAAAGTGAAAATTTGTTCAGTTTGTATACTCCAGAAACCATTTTTTTCTAGACTGTCAGGATGCATCCAAATATGTCAAGTTTTTATTTATATAAGTGATACACTAGTTATATAGTTGTATTACACTCTTTCCACTATACCTTATTTCTATACAACATGTACATAGTATTTTTTCTTGCTTCTGCCTCTGTATGCACGTGGACAAATTAACCTTCTGGTGGCCATTTTCACAGTTAATGAAGTGGATGGAAGTTATACCTATGCCTGATAAAGTTTTTATGTTTAATGAATTTGTAAATATTACCAAAGACAAGTGCACACAAAGCACCTGGAGGGCCCTAACAGTGTTAATACCCATTTAATGACATCTCATTTTTTTATTACTATTTTTACTATTTCATACTATTCAAACTAGTATCACAATTATGTGAATGCTTCTATTTTGGGGTTCTTTTGGGATTCACTACTCTAAGCATTCAAATGTATCTATTATTTGCTTTTATTGAATTATTTCATGGAGATAAAATAATTTGTCAACAGATTACACATAGAGCTCCCCTATGACCCAGCAATCCCACTTCTGGGCATTTACCCAAATGACAACAAACAAGGCCATACTAAAGCTACCAGCACAACTATATTTACCACAGCATTATTTACAATAGCTAAGATATGGACCCAACCCTATCAGTTAAGAGAGTTGAAAAAGAATTAAGCTAGAGCGCAGCACTGGTGGCTCACACATGTAATCCTAGCTATTCAGGAGGCTAATTCTGAGGATCCTGGTTCAAAGCCAGAGACTTCAATTAACCACTCAAAAAACAGAAGTGGCACTGTGGATGCCACTCAGTAGATAAATATGTATATGGCTTTTGCCATCTATCAGTTTCCAAATTTTGCTACCTCAGTAGTAATAAAATAGGATTTCACATCTTTTTTTTTTTTTCCTGTTGGCCCTCCCCATACTGTTGATACCTACCCCCCAATAGAGCCTGTTATACTTTTTTGTGATGTTTTTCTTTTTCCTTCTAGCATATATTAATTGTATGAAGGGGCTTCCCTATGGTCATTCAAATATTCATAAATAATTGAGTCAGACGAACCTTGTCTATTACTCCTTTCCTAGTACCCTCTATTACTCAAAGCTATTTTAATTTGTAATTTTCTTTTACCCTTACAAACATACCTATTCAAACATTTGCCTCTTTTTCTCTCATTCATTTTATAGATACCATATTTATTGATTGTCTGGGTGGCCCTCTTTTAGAGACTGGGATTCTAGTTGTAAATAAAACAGACAAAAATTCCTGTGTGAAATTAGTTGCACATACAGTTTTATAAAAAGTGTAGTCTCGCTGGGCGTCGGTGGCTCATGCCTGTAATTCTAGCTACACAGGAGGCTGAGATCTGCGGATTGCGGCTCAAAGCCAGCCCAGGCAGGAAAGTCTGTGAGACTCTTGTCTCCAATGAACCACTCAGAAAACCATTAGTGGTGCTGTGGCTCAAGTGGTAGAGCACTTGCCTTGAGCTGAAGAGCTCAGGGACAGTGCCCAGGCCCAGAGCTCAAGCCCCACGACTGACAATTAAAAAAAAAAAGTCTCTTAGGCATTCGTTTGCTAGCAAACCTGAGAAGTATTTACTTACACTATAGAAGAATGAGAAAATGTGCAGCTACATCAATGCTGAATTATCATAGGAAGAGCTTTACTCAAAGATGTATAGAAAGTTAATTTTTTATTTTTGTTTATTTTAGTTTTGGGGATAGAACTGAGGTCCTCACACATGCTTAGAGTAGGTGCTCTACCTCTAAGCTAGTATTCAAGGAATGCCCAGCTTTTGCCCTAACACCTGTTTCCTTTTGGTATTCAATCCCCATAGTTCAGGTAATCTCAGTGAAAAACTTGGGCACTAACAGACTATTTAAAATTATTCTCAGGTAGTTCAAGAGTAGAAATAAGGAAGAATGTTCTTTTATCTTCAGCTTTTGATAACTACAAATAAAGCTATTATAAAGTCTAAAGTGACTATTTACATTGCAATAAGCAATGTATGAAAGCTATATATGTTTCAGCGTTTTCATCTTCCCCAACACTTCCTCCATCTTATTTTCTATTTGATATGCGGTAGTATCTCACTGTGGTTTAATTTGCATATATCTATTGATTTTATTTCCATGTGCTTATCACTTTTATTCACTACTTTATCTTCATTAGTGATCTGCCCAGATCTTTTGCCTGTTTTTTCATTGATTTCTCAACTCCCAAAATCTTAATGATATATTTGAGTATGTGCATTCAAATGAATCACTTTAATTACAGTGTTTAGTTTTATAAGTGATTTAAATGATTGTACTTTATCCTCATAAGTATTTCCACTATATGTAAAATGAGAGGGATTTATTTTACTATCAAAATCTAAAACACCTGCCTCAAGATCTAAAAGGTATAAAATTAACTATAGTCTACAATATAGCAGAAGTTCTGCTTCCTGTTAGAATATAAAGTCCAAGAATAAATAAGAAAACAGATTTCTAATGACATTATGGATCTAATAAAATCTGGAGATTAGTTTTTAAATATTTTTGTTAAGTGAAGCAACAACTAAGGAACGACTTAAAAAAACACTATCGCCCCCAAATCTATGCTTGAGAAAAAAGGGAACTATAAAAACGCAAGTGAGCCTGACAATATTGCATGCAAGCTCCTCTGAATTCTTATTTGCACCTGTGTCTCTGCTTTGCAAAAGACGACCCATGTAGCATTTCAAAATAGAAAAATGTTCAGTTTGTTACAATAGTAACCATGTGGTTCAAGGCTCTACCCAGTAGAGCATGTTGCCTTGCAAATACGGACCTTGAAGCGTGTCTAATCTTCTGGCTGTTAACCTACTTTAATGCTACAGTAACGGTGAAATTTGTAGGTATTTCGTTTTGGAACCTCTAAATTTCAACTGCTTGGAAACTCCTCTGGAGCAGAACCCTCTCCCTCCCGACTTCCCTGCGTCGGTCAGGTCACCTTCTGCCCTTGACTTCCATTCATCTGGGCAGAATTCCCGGTCCCCGCTCGTCCTCCGGCCCAGCGCTCCGTGCTCCGGGCGCCCGCACCGCGAACACGGGCTGCCTCCCCCCGCCCGTCCCCCGCCGGTACGCGTTCCGGCACCGAGGACCTGCTGCAGTCAGCTACAGATTATCCATCTCCCTTTGCCTTTCCTAGGACGCCCCCAATCAAACATGCCCCCACCCCACCACCACTTTGCACACTTCTGCTCTGTCGAAGGAGGATAACGTTGGAAGGTCTCTCCACTTTCGTAACTATCCCTGGGCAAAATAAATCGCTTTTTTTTTCTGCTGAAGAATAACGGCTGTGCAAATCTGATGGCTAGATTTGTTTTCAGGTCTGAAGACCGAGCTTCCGGACCAGGGAGGCGGGACTCAAGAAGCCGAGCCCCGCCCCCTACCGCGCCAGGCCCCGCCCACTCCCACCCCTCGCCAAGGCCTCCACCCCTCGCCAAGGCCTCCACCTCACACCCCGCGAAATTTAGGGTAGCGGGGGTCAACCCCGCCCCCGCTTCCGGCCCAGCCTGGTGCGAGCGCAGGAACTCGCTTTCCCGGCAGCACCCGCGCCCCGCCCCGCTCCCCGGCCAGGCGCGTTCCGAGTCCTGTCCCGGCTCTACCCCGCCGCGGTACACCCGCGGCCTCCCTCCCGCAGGCTCCGGGCCTGGCTTCCAGCGCCCCAGCCCCGCCCTCGGCCGCGCGCGCGCCCCGCCCTCGCTGCCCGCGCCCCGCCCTCGCTGCCCCCGCCCCCCAACCCACCCCCCCGCCCTCCGCCCCCGCGTGCGGCTGCCGCAGCCAATGGGGTGCCGGGCCGCGTGCGCAGATTCAAACGGCGGCTCCAGAGGGAGGCTGGGCGCGAGATTCGGCGGTGCCGACAAAACCCTGCAGGCGGCTGCGAGCGCTGCAGAGCTGCTCACCGCGGAGGGCGGGCGGGAGTGCGGGCGGGGGGGGGCGCGTCGGCGTCCGCGGCGCGGCCCGGACAGACCGCGGCCACCGGCTTGAGAGGCGGCGGGGAGGGGCCGGCCGTGGGCGGGGGCGCGCCTGCTGACATGCCCGGGGCATCCTGGGCCGGGCCGGGCCGGGGCTAGGAGCGGCGCCAGGGCTGGGGGCGGGTCGCGGTCCGTCCCTGCGTCCCTCCGTCCCGTCCTGTCCGGCCGGGGGGCCTGCGTTCCGCACTCGGCCGCCTCGGGGCAGCAGCGAGGGAAGCGGCGGGAGGGTCGGGGGACGAGGAGCATCCGCCCGAGGCTGGAGGAGGCTGACCCGCGTCCCCGCCCAGCCCGCGCCTATGCGGTACTTGAAGGATGGCGAAGAGGTCGCGCAGGTGGGTGACATCCCGGGGTCCGGGGCCCGTCGGCTGGGTCTCGGCTCAGCTTCCCTTTCCTCTGCCGCCGCCCCTTCGCCCGAGCCTCCCACACGCTGTCTTTCCCGCTGTCACCCCCGGTGGATTGGGTTCTGCAGGCAGGAGTGCAGCCAAGCCCTCCAGAAAGTTGGGGTCTCGAGTCCAAGAAGCAGAGGTTAACAAAGGCTCGGGTTGCTCCTTGGAGTTGATTCTCCCCGCAGTGCACAGCCAGGCTCCTAACATTTCACAGCCGCTTTTTTTTGGGGGGGGGAGGGAGGGAGGGAGGGAGGGAGGTTTTTTGCCTTTCAGAGTATACGTCACGCTGGTAGAAGTGGCGATGTCCTGCCTGGATGACTCCAACACCGGTTCTGGCTCCTGAATGACCGCGCCACTCAGAGCAGGGAACTTGGGATCCAGCAGGGTGGGCGCCGCTCTTGCCAGCTTTGCAGCCTCGAAAGGTTATGGAAAATCATCTTGGGGAAGAGCAGAGGGCTTATTCTCACCTTTCTGTACACATTCTTAGCATGTTCCTGCTGGGACGGTGTCAAACTGTTGCTACCCATATAGCTAGATCTTAAAATAAAGCAATATATTTTTATTCGTTTAACATTTGACACTACTTGTGTTACAGGAGTGGTGCACGATTTTTTCTTTTGTGGTTGGAAAGTGTGTTAGGATGAATGTATACATATCCGTGCCACTATAGTAGTTGCTCCATTGTATGGAGTAGGTTAAGTTCTCCTCCTCATCCTTCATTTTCAACAATATTAAAAGGTTTTGGGCAGGATTTTCAAATGCTTTTATTTTTCTGGATTCATAATCTCAAAGTCTTAACTACAGTTGTATTTCCTGAGTTGGAATTAGTACTGGGAATCATTTGTTTTACGTTTTGGTAAATCAACTTTAGCAATAACAATCCATAATCTTACTTTATACATATATCAATTAACTGGTGTAAGATGGTTCTGCATAAGTCAGTATGAAATTATGTCATAGTTATTTTATAGCAACTACAGTATAGGACAAATCCCTAGAGAGGTAGACCAGATGTGTACACACAGATCTTTAGCAATAGGGTTTTTAACCTTCACACTATTGACACTTTAGATCTGATGGTTCTTTGTACTGGGGGTGGTGTGGAGTGGGGGAATGTTCAGCCACAGGCTTTGTCTGTACTCAGTGGAACAGTAATACTCTGCTTCCCACAGTCCTGACAAAAGTGTCTCCACATACTGCCTGTGTCATTTGGGGGAGGGGAGCAAAATCACACAGGTAAGAACTGCTAATCTAGAAATCCAGACTCACTTAACTGTTCCATCTTCAAAAAACAAGTTAGACGCTTCTGTGGTGACGATTGCTGAAGTACTATAGGCTTTTGGGTTCTTTTTTTGGGGGGGAGGGGTCCGGTCGTGGGGCCTGAACTCTTGGCCTGGGCGCTGTCCCTCAGCTCTTCAGCTCAAGGCTAGTGCCCTACCACTTGAGTCACAGTGCCATTTCTGCGTTTTTCTGCTGATGTGGTGCTGAGGAATGGAACCCAGGGCCTCATGCATGCAAGGCAAGTGCTCTACCACTGAGCCACCTTCCCAGCCCCCCTTTTGGATTCTTAAGTCTTAAAAATTTTAAAAACTTAATAGGCTGGGTGTCAGTGGCTCACGCCTGTAATCCTATTTACTTAAGAGATAGGTTTGAGGATCTTGGTTAGAAGCCAGCCTGGACTGGCTTATCTCCAATTAAATACCAAAAAAAAAAAAAAGGCTGGAAGTGGAGCTTTGGCTCAAGTGGTAAAGCTTTGAGCACATAAGATCAAGGAGAGCAATGCAAAGTAACAAGTTGAAGTCAATAAAATTGTATTTATACTTAAGGTGAAATTATCTACTTAGTCTTGATGTCAATCTTAGTTGAAACAGTTTCTTGGCTAATTCTGTCATCATTGTTACAGTATGTTTAGACACTGATATTTGAATGTTAGAACTTGCCTAGGAAGGAGAGCTTAGTTTTCTGTTACATAGTTGTTTCCTAACACTAGAGTAAGAAAGGAGAAATTATTTAATAATTAGTTTGCCTGTGTAAATTCTTTTATTGATATAATTATGTGCTTTAGATACTTTAAAGTTTAAATCTGGAATAACTAAATAGAATGAAGGTATACTTTTTAGGGAGCATACAGGTAGAAGTGTGGCAAGAAATTGTCACTTCTGACTATATTTCTTCTGCCTTCATACTTGAGTTTTATGCTTTAAATTGTATTTCTTGTATTTGTAAATATGTATGGCTTGTGTATTTTAGAGGATAACAAATGGAATGTTTTGAAGGAGAAACCTATTCATGGGGGACAAAGTCAACTCAGCCTTTGATTAAGAATGTTAACATACATGAATGAAATTTATGGTAGTAAGAGAAAGGAATCCAGTCATTTCAAGTTGTACTTTGAGATCTCCAGTAAACAACCACTTAATAAGTTGAATGAAAATTGTACTTGGCTGCATAAAAGCTCCATATAGAAATATAGGCATAAATCCTTTAATAGACTTTTTTCCATGTGATCTAAATAGAAAATTGTTGCCTCAGGTGTGAAACAACTGAAAGACATTGGCTTCTTTGATTTTTATTTAATAGCTATAGATTAACTCATTGAAATTGACATTTTTCTCAATTTCATTGTGGAAAAGGCCAACTAATAGTGAGACTTCGCAGTTTTGATGGTATAATTTACAGGCACGTACACAACAAGGAAATCTGTTATTAATATGTATTTGATTTTAATGTATATTCTATGTACAAATAAAAGGTCTTTTTTGAAAAGTTCTCCCTTAAAAATAAATTGCAGTCATTTAGAAGCTGCAAAGCTTCTAAAAGATTACTCCTAAAAGATTAAGATATTTTCACTTGATATTACCATTGACTGCACTAAACCCCAAGATAAAGCCAGGTTTTACATTGCAAGATATTTTTCAGTGATTTTATGCATGTATACACAATGTGCATGTATGTGTGTATGTATGTAGCAGTTATACTCTTTATTTCCAACAAAACGAGTGCAGGTGAAAGTATACTGATAAATGATAAATGCTTTCTGAGTTTTGTTGTAATGGCAGAATTGTCTTGGGAAAGAAGATAAATTCTATCCCAGTTTTAAATCTATTAATGTAATGGTTTGTATTTTGTAGTCTGTAAAGATAGTTTCTAGCTTTAATGTATATCCTTTGAGGACCTTTTGTGATGATCTTTTCTCACTTAAAAATAAATACTCCAAAAGAATAAATAGACATGTTATCACCTTTTTGTTTATGGGTAGCTGGGCAGAACTCTCCCCAGAATTTGTTTTACTATTTCTATTAATCATGGTCTACTATGTGAAATCAGATTGGTCTTTAAAGCTAGTTGGCAGTCAAGACTTGGAATTCAGTACTCATGTATGCAGTACATAGTAATAACCACTGGGTGGCCTGATTTCACTTTATTATGTTAGCCTGGTAGGTAAATGCTCATATCCTTGAGTATAACAAAAACATTAAATCCAGTTACCCTATTGTCACAAAGTATAAAAAAGGTGTGTATTTTAGTATGCTAAAGATTTCAGACTTCTGGAAGTTTGTGATATTAAAGAGCAAGCAATTTTGCGAGAACAAGTTTTATAGAAAAACTTATATTTCTTCTAATTACAAACCAGTAGTAATAGTACCATATTTAATTTTTTTTTTTACTTTTTTAGATGGCTTGTTATCCTTTAAAACTGAACTTCTCCAAATATTTTATCATAATGTCAAGTATGAATAATTTGTGTATTATTTCACAAGTTTTGACTATCACATCCTTTTTGTTTATACTCCACTGTATACTACTCTTAACCATTTCCTGGCCTAACAAGATAAAGATTTTTTTGTGCTTTTGTTGTTTCATATGTACCCTCATCACTTTATTGATTTATCATTTACAAAACTATTTCCATTTGAGTATGGTAGTTTGGTTAGACATTGGACATTTATAGAATCAGATATGCATAGAAATAACTTGGGGCTAGAGGTATAGTTCAGTTGGTATAGTGCTTGCCTAACATGAGACAAGGCCAGACCCTTGGTTCAATCTCTAATTCCACCAAAAAAGAAAGAAAAGTAAGAAAAATGAAAAGTAAAATAAGTTGATGACAAAACTAAGAAGTAGAATTAGATTTTAGGAAAGTCCCAGTGGTAGAAAGATGATTCTAAAAATTCTTTTATGTTCCCTTGTTCTCATCGCTTAGAAAACCCAGCTTCCTGAATGATGGTGGGCCATATAACTCATCGTCTGAAACTGATGAGCTTGCTGAGTATAGTAGAGAATGGAACCTCATGTAGAATTAGACATCTCTCACAAGTTATGTAGTCCAAAACTAAGGAGCTGCATTTAACAATTGAACATGTTCTTTGGAAAATTACTCCTTGGTAACTACTCCTGGACTAACGTTACATTTTTGTATGTATATCCTTAAAGTAATATTTTGTTAACAACTTTAAGGTGGATTTTTTTACAGATTAGATGTGATGTAGATTTTTTTTGGCAAATACTCAATATTTATACAGGAAAATTGTGTTAGAAGTAACTTTTTTTTTTTATTATCTTCAAGTAGTTGTACAAAGATGTTCCCATTCGACAAAACAGTACGTGAGTGCAGAGTGTCTGACAACATTGTCACCCATCTCTCTTAACCCATCCCTTCTCTCACTTTTTTTTTGAGATTAGATGATTACATAAATTTCATATATTTCACAGTATAGTGGAATAGTGATACTATTGTCACAAACACATATTAACTTTTCACAAGGCAAATTGTCATTATCATGTCTATACAGTTTGTGAATTCTATAAGAAGTAACTGTTTTTAAAAAGCAGTCTCTAATATGCTGTTGTGGAAGCTATTGGAATCTAAAGGGAGCGAGAAAGAGGACAACCTGTGAAAAGCATGCTTGAGGGTTATTTGGGTATCAGGAAGTGGTAATGTTGCT